AACGACGTGCTGATTTAAGCGCTTCGCGCCCGAACATATTCTCAATAGTCGAGAATATGCAAGGCCCAGGTAAACGAATAGCAGAAAGTATGACGTCCTCTGGGACCAGGAGTGTATTTGTCCGACGTTTCGAACCCTCCCGCAGCTCATTGTCAAGAAATGAAAAAACGTACAGCTCACAGTGTAATTAAGTCGGTTCTGCCGGGATTGGTCCAGAGAGTGGTCCCAGAGAACGTCTTACTTTCTTCTATTCAGTTACTTGGGCCTCGCATATTCTCGACTATTCAGAGTATACCTTATGTGTGAGAGGGTTTTAGTGTTCAGTTCCCGTGATCTGGTTCCATTGGCGTACCAGAGAAACTGTCGCTCAAATTAGCAGAGAGCTAATTTAGTTTGCTCAGAACGGAGCTACTTAAGATCTTCGTCAGCAATACAATATTCGTTTATGTCCATTTTCAGAACTGCTTGAACTACCAACGGATATCCAGCTGGTGCTTTCGTTGACAAACTATCGTCGAGCCGTCACGATCAGCGAACTCGCCTCCAGAGCCGGACTCTGCCACGTCGATCTCACGCACTGGCCTTCAAGACAGCAGCAGCAGCAGCAGGAGTCTATGGATCCTCGGCCTTCACACTCTACCATCTGGACCGGTCTTCGGCCTGTTCTTCACAGCCAACTCCTTGAGAATCTGTTGAAGATGGAGGATGTGCACAGAGGCGTGGAATTGATAGCAGATATGCCTGAGCAAGGTAGGCAACTACCAAAGGAATTGCCAAATGTATTTGTGAATCAATAAACTTAGATGAACATTGCCGGCAGAGATCGGAATTGACATTATTGGCCGCCATGAGCTAGTCATAAATAATCTCCGGTGGTGTACTCCCCTGTTGACCAAAAATCCAATGTTTTAACTGTTGAGCAACGGTTATGTTTACGACGGACAAGCCAGAACTAATCAGTGGGTCCCCCAGCTTTACTTGTCTGCTTTCTGGTTAAAATAGCAGTTTTGAAGGTTCACCTTTTTAATAACCTTAGAAATTAATTTCTGCTCGTGGTATATATCACTATATTTAAGGTCTATAGGAGTAGATCGA